CAGGGTTGGATGGAGAATGCTGGTGAGCAGTCTATGCTTTTTCACGAGGAGTAACAGGCGTAAGTAAGTTTTTAACGAATTATTTATCAAAAATTGTACGACATTTACCTTATTTTCAAATCTCCTTTATCCTAATTGGAATAAGGTACAATAATTATGTAATGAGTGTTTAAAGGTTGTATGTTGGAATTCACAGTTAGGATTTTCACCTTTTTGCAAGAACGTCAGAATCTTACTTTTTGTTTTGGGTTCATGTCATCAAATTGTAAAAATAATTGCTCAGATTCCGTTGATATTCAAGGTCAATTTGTTATATATCTACAAGATGAACGCTAGATTTTTTGATGAATTATTTATCAAAAACTGTACGACAATGAAAGATTAATCGGTAAAATTATAATTTATGAACGAACCAATCAGGTATAAGATAACAGGTCTTGGATTTTGGCGCGAAATTCACTCATCCATTTGGCTGAATAGAGTTTTGTATTATGTCTGATGTCAGTTCGTGATGAAAACCATATATCCAATTTCTTACCTTAACCATCAACTGTAAATCATAATTCTAATTCGTCACACAGATTTATAACCTTCATTTGGTCTTGGTTATTAGATGGACACTTTCAAGGTCACTTTAGAGTCATTCAAAGGTCGTCCATAATTTATAGTCTCACCGATTAATCAGCCAATTACCATGTTTTCAATATCTATTATTCTAGTAGAACAAGGCACATTAGTTGTAGTCAAATGAGTACAGCATTGCATGACGTGCAGTGCTAACCGGTGTTGGAGATGATTGGAAGAAAGTTAGGGGTGGCAAACCAAAACGTGGTATCAGTGCTTGAAGTCACTAACTTCTTGGTAGATGCAGACTACTTGGTTGGGGTCCGTGTGACTATCGTAACCAATGGTTGGAGACTCTTGGTGACATGGCTCAGAATCGATCACAATGGCGTCAGTGTATACGCTCTTTGTCTTCCCTTGAACTGTGAGATTAAAATTGCTTCATATCTTTCTTTCTATGAACTAATTCTTTCTTCCTGTACTATGTTTTTATATGCAATCTTCCTTTATATATTACCACCTCTGAATTAACTACTTTTATGAATACGGTGTCCATCTTGTTGTGTTAATAAGGTATGGCAACTTGGGCCGATGCATATATGTGTCTGGTCGTACGTTGTAGCCGACTGACTGAGTGACAGCAGAAAATGTTCTAGTTCCGTTTTACATTTGAATGGAATGAGGTTAAATATTTGATCCTTGAATGTATATAACTAATTTATTTGTTTTTATTTCATTGAAACATGGAAATACTTTATATTTAGTAAGATGAATGTATGTAGGATATGTATTGGTAAATATCTTATATTTGGTGTAATTTCTTACTTTATCCTAATACGCATTATGAAACAGTGACTATTAGCAAGGTATTTTTCTGGATACCATACATATTTAATCCCAATACTGGACACCTTAATGCATAAGCTACTTAGTTTGAAAATGTCCCATGAGGTAGTAAGATATTATAACCGGTGAAGTTCATCCATCTCGGGTGTTGGAAATGTTTCCTTTAAGTTAATAGATAATGATCAAGGGAGACTGAAATTGGGTGTTTAATAAAAGTAACACACTATGAAACAATTAGTTCCTTTGATCAATTTTGATCTACAATGAGAAGACGAAGATAATCAGAACTATATGATATATTTGACCTATAACATAATGAACAACCTGATCACACATATACTTGTTAAGACATTTTTATATGAAAATTAAAAGGTCAACTAGACAGATTGTGTTGTACAAAAGTGTTAAAGGGCATATACTAAGGTTTATTGAAGCCTTAGCCATTCAAACCTCCTCTGTGTATTCAAGAAGAGTTTGTTCTCACCTTAAACCTACACTGGTAATATTAGCATATTATCCAGAGTGATGAAGTTTCAAATTATCTCCACATTGTTTTTTTTATCATCCTAATGCCTTCTTACCCTCGATTTCTAGTCTAGTTAACCTTCTATTTTTATATATAAGTGTTTTTAATAAGTATATAATGTGTGATTAGATTGTTCGAAATATATTACGCTAATATATATCGCATAGTTCTGTTAATCTTCGTCTTTCTGTTACATTATCCAAACTTATCAAAGGGAACCAATTGCTGAACTGAACTTTCAAAAAAGACAAAATAATTGTTATCACATTTTAATAATAGAAAAATTATCTATCATTGTAATTCTTGAAATCATTACGAAGATCGATTCTTTCTTATGAATTTATAGAATGTCATGATAACAGTTTTTTTTCCAGATAAGATGAATTCATTATTGTTTTCCCTCAGATACATACAGATTTATGAAATTAATTAGATTGAAATTGGTCTAGCTTCAATTTACTCAAGATCTCCACTATTGAAATTACTACAATCTCCACAAAACCCTTCAAATTGAAATATATTTAAACAAGATATATGGAAAGTAGAAAGATGAATTATATGTTGAAGAATAATAAATTCTTTGGAAGATAAAATTGTACAAACATTTAATTGAGAAATTTCAATAGAGTTATTTTTAAGTAGTTAAAATGACCAGTTGTAGAATATTGAGTACACCTTGTTGTCCAAGATGAAAGTGTATAGGATAATTATTCAAAGAGTGAAGGTAAAATCAAAATTATATTTTAAGGTTATCTACAATATTCCATCAAATCTACCACATGGTTTACGAGTGCGCCTTTTGTACATTGCGGAAGCCATCGCAATCCATGTTCACAAACCTGACCTTTGCATCCAAAAGAAATCCGTACAACCACTTTCTCTACCCTGGCCTTCAGTATAAAATTTCCGTCAGAAGAACTATTTTCCATTTTTCATGCTTCTTCCATTTTTTATTTTAATTTTAAAATTATATTTTCTAAGTAAATTTGGTTGCAATTTAAAAAGCATCTTGCTGAATTACTCTACTATTGTTAACAAAAAAATGAACTGTTGCATGTCATCTACAGTTCTATAAGCTGATTATTATGAACTTGAGAAAACAAAAATTGGGTCAAATTCCAAGGATCTTAAATCATAAAGAATAAGCCGTCTTCCTAGCTTACTAGTGCAATACACAATGAAGACAAGATATAAGGTAGATACAATGTAGTGAAGGAGAACACAGGGGGGAGGACAACCGAATTATATTTAGCACAACATTACAGAGTTATTTGGTAAAACAGAAAAAACTATACTATAATACCTAATTTGTAAAATGTTCAATGATTGTCTCGGACTTCATTGTTCTTGATCTTCCCCATCTTCTGCTGCCTGACATTACATTCCTGACTCGCGTTATATATTACTTATGTCAATATAAGTAGCACGTGCCACAACAATATATACATTAAAAATTCTCATAAGTTATTGTCTAATCAAATCTTGATGATTGTATTCAACAAAGTTCATTAGTTCATCATCAACTGTGTTTTCGAGTAATACCTGGATCTTTCATATAATTAATTCATTATGCAACAATATTACAAAATAATAAAGTGAAATAAATGTTTATATATGGCGTTAAACTTTAAAGTTTTGTCAAAGAAAAAAATTTAGATAAATCTTTAGTGACCCTATATATGACTTCAGGGAGATCGGACAAATGATCGTTATTGAGTGGTTGCTGTCAAAATACAGATGTCGGCTATCATTGTATATTTTATCGACTTAATCGCATGGGTGAATAACGAAATTAAATAAGTCGAATACGAGAATGGATTTTTGAATACATACATTTTGTACACTCATTGATCTAGACAGGAAATGAGAGTGATGAAGCAAATAGAAGACAACAAAGTGAAATGACGCGCGGTGGAGAAGGCATGTGAGTCAATTTCATTTAACCTAGAGTAAATCATTATTTATAGCCAGATAAAAGTAGGTTACAGATATGTGATAAATAGGATAAGAAGTGTACACACATTTACGCTCATATAAAAGCAGTCAGGATTGACAAGTGAATAATTAACAAAGTCGACACGTGACTCAAGAACAATGGATAAATTGACCTATCCAGAAGCTAGAATAAGTTATATAGGCTTAACATACTAACCGACACTACACTGTTAACACTAAAACGTGAATGTTGAAAGACTTATATAAACCTTTGGTAAAATACATTGATATGTGATTTATTTATATTTTATAGATACTTATCAACTAGTGAGTATTTACAAACTGAGGGTTTAGCATTGTTTGATTATGGTCACAACACTTTGGGTTTTATTCTGTTTAAACTTGAGTGTAATTGAGATGGATAAATCTTACATTACAACAGTATAATCATTTAGTATTTAATTATTTTCTGCCATTCTTCAACTAGTATATGTTTTTAATATGAATGACTCATTTTGTGTGTTCAAAGGTTTATTATTTGTTTAATGTGGTTGGCGTTTTTTTTAAGCAAGATTTTTTCTACGGAATGGGGTTGCACACCTCATACCTAACCCTTCTCTTATACCTGTGCTTTGGATTATTTGTAACTCTAGAAGAGCTACATGCAGATACTCAACATTCATTGGTCGGATACCATCAACATCACCTTTCTGTAGGAGAGAATAAATCAGCTTCCATATGAAAAGGAAATTAGGAAAAAAAACATTGGAAGTGGATAAGGTATATACATTACAGAAATCATCAAACTACATCACAAGACAAGTCCTAACTTGAAATCTTGAAGGGAAACGATAAAGAGAAAAGCCATCCCGAAAAATAAAAACATATATATCAAAAGGATGGATAACAATTGGAAAGAATTATCCAGGACAGAGTTGTACAAAGAATACTGATGAGTGGTTTGTGCTTCTCGACGACGGTTAACAGGCGTAATTAAATAAATAAATAATAAGTTAATTATTCAATTCACTACTTATTATATATAAGTAACATAGAAGTAACATATTTCATAAGTTTTCGATAAAAATAATAAATAAATGAACAATTAAATTATTCAATAAATACTTACTCTCATTATGTATAGGATATGAATAATGATTTATTTGATCAATAATTGATTAATTAATTATTTATTTAATATTCCATTAGAAACAAACATTTTTTCTCCTTTTTAATAAATCAATAAATCAATAATTGATTGATTAATTAATTAATGAACTTTCACATGCTCTAAATGGCGAATCTTTTGAAATAGGCTAATTTATTAAAACAAAACAAACCCAAAAAAAATTTTCATGTGTGTGTGTGTACTCATAAACGAATGTGAGAATTCTTTTTTAAAACAAAAAAAGGGAATATAAAGTCATACAATAAAAGGAGTATAGTAGTACACCGATACTGATTACTGGTTTTATGTCATTTTATGATAGTTATTTGATTGGATATGTTCAATGTATCCATGGGTAGATATAGATGGGTAGACAGACAATATCGTAATTAAGTGTATAGATGAATAATAGTTAATATATAGATATATAGTTAAGTAAGTTGTTCACTAATCGGTTAAGTTTATTTTTAAACTAATCTAATGAAATGTTACGGTTGGTTATTAGATTGTTCCCTTGAATGAAATGAATCATTATTTGAAAAAGTAATCAGATATATTCATTATGCTATGAAGTAATTGTCTTTTGTCATTTTGATTTACTTTATGTAGTATATACAGTAAATTGGATAACTCTCCCGGTATACTATATTGTACGAGCATTAGAATGTCAGGAAAGGCATTAGCCTTGTGACTTTTGAAAGAATTTGGATTTCACTATGAGGTGTTATAACTATTCTAAATGAAGATCTTCTAAATTCTAAGACAGAATTTAAATGGTTTGAATTATTTTTTCTGGTTAGCAATTTTTTAGCGAGTTAGTTTTCTATGGGATTGGGTCGATAACACTATGCCCAACCCTCCTCCTTTATCCAGGTTTGGGACCGGCAGCAACCCCAGGGGGGCTCCAGGCCGAGTTTTTATATAGTAAATGTTGAATATTGAATCTGCATTGTAATCAGTCGATTCTTGTTATATATATATGTAGTGAACAAGAACACCAGTGGGGACAATCGAATGTATTTAACACAAAATTACTGGACTTATTAATAAAATCTAACAATCATAAAGTAAATGCTTAATTTGCAAAGTGTCCATCAATTGTGTCAAAATGACTCAGATTTCATTGTTCTTGCATTGTCATACAACTTGCATCCTATTTCCATTCTTTACTGCTTGATCCTCTTGCCTCTCTGCTGCCAGGCATTCTGTTCACGACTAACATCATCTACTACTTATGTCAACATAAGCAGCACAGACCACATATAGACTTAAATGTCTTTGTAAATGATATAAGACTACAAATTTACCCCAAATATTTTTGTTATCGTTAAAAAAACGTTCTTAGAAAAGTTTTCCTAATTGATTATTACACTTTTATTAGTTGAGATAATGAGTCAGTTGAAGCTAGATCATCATGAAAAACCTGGAATCACTAGACGACCGTTTCATCTTTTTGTGGGACTCCTCAACAATGCGTATTCAATCGACTCATGATCTCAACTAATGAAATTACTATAATATTCACAAAAACCGCTTTTGATATTACACTTTCATCTTACAACAAATTCACTTTCAAAATTGAAAATGAACTCGTTCGGCAGCTAATATGCTTCGAAATGCTTTAGTTTGTACAATTGGTTATATTTCATTCATGTTAACGTAGAACTATGTCTACAAATTACCTTATGTGGATTTTGATGCTTTTATATTGGAGAGTGGTCTCATGAAATCTTGGCTCGAACCAAAAAAACACAAAATACTACCTAATAATCATGTGATACTAGAAAAATGTAAAGTGAAATAGGAATTACCAGTGCAGGCGATCTTCATTTATCCAAAATACCATATTTAATTCTATTCATATTTTACACTATTATTATGGATACAAATTCAATTCTATCATTTCACATTACATTTATCACATATTTCATATCCATCCAGATATATAAAGGTTTTTACATATTTGGGCGCCATCATTGATGAACATGGTGGATATGATGTAGATGTGAAGGCACGGATCGGTAAAGCAAGAGCAGCATATCTACAATTGAAGAATATCTGGAACTCAAAACAATTGTCCACAAGCCAACACCGAGATCGGAATTCTCAATACAAATTTCAACACAGTTCTACTGTATGGGGCGGAAACATGGAGAACTATGAAAGCCATCATCCAGAAAATACAGGTGTTTATTAACAGTTGTGTAAGCAAAATACTTCGGATCTGTTGGCCGGACACTATTAGTAACAACCTACTGTTGGAGAGAACAAACCAGATCTCATCGGAGGAAGAAATTAGGTAGAAGCACTGGAAGTGGATAGTAAACACATTGAGGAAAGCACCGAACTGCGTCACAGGGCAAGACCTCACATGGAATCCTTCAAGGTCAAAGGAGGAGGAGAGGAAGACCAAAGAACACATTACCTTGAGAAATGGAGACAGATATGAGAAGAATGCACAAGAATTGGATAGAACTGGAAAGGAATGCAGAGTGCTACAGAGTGTGTTGGAGAATGCTGTTCGACGGCCTATGCTCCATCGGGATTAACAAGCGTAAGTGAGTAAGTAATATGCACACAGATATACAAAAATCATTTTAATCAGAGTGGAATGACACTGAATTCATCAGATTTGTTTGTTGATTATACTAAATATTTTGTTGTATTCAAACTCTTATTAAATTAATTTGTTTATTTGTTGATCCTCTGAGGAAGTGGCTTACAGTGTTTTGCAATACGTCAGCAATTTATGTTTTTCTAATCATTGGAATATTATGAATATGTCTTTTTTTTAAAAAATTATTTTATGTTAGTTTTATCAAACAAAGTCATGAGTACTTGAATAATAAAATTATTCATTTGACTTAGATTGGCTTGTGATTTCAATGGGATTCGATAATTTCAACAACCCTTTACTGACAATTATTATCGACTAGGTTTGAATGGAATTTTTCGGAGTCCCAATGAAAAGTGTTATGACTTTACGTTGTGACTGCAGGTCTTGATAAGCAGCGTTTATTGATCGATTCGGTGAGAGTGACACGGAAAACACGTATGGACGACCTAGTGCCCTGATTGGCCCTGCCCCGCTGTCTGTCCTAGCCCAGTTGAGTGGAGAACAAAAGTCACAGCCTCGGAGATATGAATCACTATATTTCAAACATACTTTGTTTATATACTAGTCAAGCATACCACAGCGTACCATAAAAATAGAAAACAACATTTTGTACAATATTCAACAAGTGAACAGATATCGACCAATAGGAAATGTCCATTTAAAGTCCAAGGACACCATTGAACTTAACATGATAATTATTGGTCTATTCCTGCGCATCCACAACACCTCCCCTTTTTTTTGAAGATCCGGAGTTGATATCCGGATTTTGAAATTTTCTGGGTTCATCCTCCCCCACGAAATAATGTTGGGTCCTCATATTCCCAAGTTAGAATTAATTTGACTTTATTTAACACATAATTGTCAGATTGAACAGGGGAGTCACTGAAAGTGATTAAATAGTGGGGAACAATGTCGCTTGATATGAGGTCACCAACGTTTGATTCTTCTGGAACATTGTCACGGGATTTGTTGAAAATCTCATTTGTAAACAGTTGATCACTGCGATAATCAACATCTATCAAAATTGTATTAGATTTCTGATCATCATTTAATGCATTTAACACATTTTCTGGTACAAAAAGATCTAGATAATAAGATTCGTCAGAATCTCCTGTTGTTGAATGATGAGGACCATTTGAAACAGCTGGATTCAGTGTACCGCACGATTTGTTCCCTGTTCCGTTGTGGGCGGGTACTGCAATTAATTTATGAGCATTTAATAAGAGATCCTCCTGTGAGCTGGGTACATCACTGTCTGTACACGTTTCAGGAACAGTGGGATTTGAACCCACGACAGGGAACGTTTCGGAATTTGACATTTCTGGACAACTGGGCGGACCATGAATAACTGTCTCGTTTACATCACTGGTCGTCCGGGATTCACAGAGGCTTTTATAAACAGCTTCATATGTTCTGCAGTTGTTTTCCAGCTCAGTCTGCAGATGAGAAATGAATTTACCAACTTCTGTTGCACCTCCGAAACATGGAACATTTACCAACAGTGTGCGTAAATTTTCTAAAAAATTTAACTGGCTATTTTTGAAGCACTGCTGTTGTTGCTCAAGTAGAAGCTGTAATCGATCGGAAAAGGTAGTCAATTTTTTTTCAGCACCTGCAATGAAAATTAACTGTAGGAATAATGACCAATGTTGCTCAAGGACGCTGGTGACAATCTGGATGCTGATTGGTCGAAACAATTAACCTGAATCTCGTCCAATTACAAGGTTCAAAATTTTTCTCCACCCCGTCGCCAATTGTTATGAATTTAAGTTGTGAGACTGCAGGGTTTGATAAGCAGCGTATTTATTGATCGATCGCAGTACAGTGACACGGAAAACACGTAAGGACGACCTAGTGCCCTGATTGGCCCTGCCCCGCTGTCTGTCCTAGCCAGTTGAGTGGAGAACAAAAGTCACAGCCTCGGAGATATGAATCACTATATTTCAAACATACTTTGTTTATATACTAGTCAAGCATACCACAGCGTACCATAAAAATAGAAAACAACATTTTGTACAATATTCAACAAGTGAACAGATATCGACCAATAGGAAATGTCCATTTAAAGTCCAAGGACACCATTGAACTTAACATGATAATTATTGGTCTATTCCTGCGCATCCACAACAAAAAGCCATCACCAGTGGTGCTAAACCGTATCAGGTGTGAGGAAGCTACTCACCGGAGATTACGAATGATGGTCGCGGACTACCATGAACCGTGGCTCAGTGGTCTAGGGGTTAAGCGTTAGCATACGAAACCGAAGGTTATTGGGTTCGAGTCCCACATGCGAGATCATGAATATCCACTGCTGAGTGGTCCCATACTATATTAAAATGGCCGTTTGATG